AGAAGTTTCTACGGTGAAACGAGTCGCCTATTGGTGTGATCATCTCAAGGACGATCTCTAAAGCACAGTTGACACTGAAGCTGAGTGCTGTCACAAAGAAACTAAGAAACGTCACAGCAAGACTTGTGTGGGCCAGGAATGTGAGACCATAGAACAGATGACGAACTACATCCCAGAACARTCCTKTCTTACTTGGGAAAATCTGGGRAAAAATGAAAAWGAAATTAATAGGTATTTTAGAACAACTATAGTGAACCCAAAATCTAATTWATCAGAGCTAATAGAAGATAATCAGGAATGCATTTTAAAATAATTGCGATTTGCAGAGGGAAATTACACTCCGATTATCCATGTGTTCCTTAGTGGAGCAATTCCATTATTCCCAAAATTCTACAGAATCAMATCGAAACATTCCAATGTAGCAACAAAAAATAGTTCATCATAAGATTCATATTCTCTAAATATAAATATAACTACATTTATTTATATGAATTKGAAGAATAGAACAATAACACGCTGTGATTCAAAATTCAATTTAATATTTATAGCTAATTGACATGATCAAGCTTCGGTCCACGTGGAGAATAGGTCGATACAGAACTAGAAGTCACATTCACCTTTGGCAACAATAAAGTCATTTTCAATTCAATTCTGAAGCCTTAGCGGCACTATCCTTTAAAATAGCTTAAGTAACTATAAGTATAAAACTATACTGCCAAACTGTGATCATAAAAAGAACACGACGAGTCAATACCTGTCGATGTTTTGTTCTGTTTTCTGATACCTCCTGCTCAGAATCCGCTCTCGAGGACTCCAACACAAAATCACGAATAACAGTCCTCAACTCAGTCATTTCATTAGTACAAAGCTGTATGGGGTTGAATAGCAGCCACGATACTTCGATGATACTTCGGCTTCAGATTAGTTACGACATATCCAATATCAACTATTTCCAACTAAATTTGGACGTACATGGAGTTGGGATTATGGAGTTGATATTCAACTCTGGATTCAGTTGAAAAGGGAATATTTGAACTCGATTTCTATCTATATTCGGATTTAGAACAAAATCATTACATGTAAGTTATTTTAGATGAAAAGTTTGTGATTTTACGTAGACAGTGGTAGATTCAGAACGTCACTAAAGCCAATCAGCTAACGTAACTCAAAGAAGAAATGTTCCATGGATAGTTAGGCCTGCCGAGAGTAAAATCTCTTTCAGTTGAACGCCGCTTTAGATGTTTTTGAGAACAAGTCCCATTCTCATTTAATGTTTTCTTTTATTTATCAAGATTTCTATTTTCGCATTTTTTTTTTATCAAGGGAGTGTCCCAGGTTCGCCCCTCCTCCCCCTCCCCCTCCCCCTCCCCACGCAAAAAAGAGAAATTTTTCTGATGATCCCATTTAATCATCAAGTCCTGAT